GAACCACCTACATTCTGCTTAAAAAGCTGTTTCAGGGTCTGGTGTCGGTCATGGCCTGGATGAGGGTGAATAAATTGAAATTTAATCCAGACAAGACAGAGGTGCGCCTTTGCCAGTCAAAAGGCAGATCAAGGAAGAGGAATGCAACCTGTGCTGGATGGGGTTGCGCTCCCTTTGAAAACAGGGGTGTGCAACTAGGGGTTTCCTGGATTCATCTCTGAGTCTCGATGCCCGGGTTTCGACAGTGGTCAAGACCCAGAACTACATGTGTTGTGCCCATTCCTGGAGAGGCCAAAATGACACATGCCTTAGTTACAGTGGTGCCTCGATTTATGACATACGACATATGTCCTGACATACGACCATTTCGAGTTACGACCAGCTCCGGCCGCAAAAATTTGCTTCTACTTATGACTGGAGCTTCCAGTTACAACCAGAAAAAGACAGAGAGAAAAGGCGGGGGATTCAAATTGCTAACTGTTGGTGGCGAAGTTGCCCCAACGGTTAGAGTGAGTGCGATCAGAGGAGGTTTCAGACTGCCTGGTAAAGTAAGATGCTGCTTTCTGCTTTTAAAAAACTATTCTGGGTGGTGGGATTATGTTTCTTTTATTATGTCTTTTGCACCATGGTTTTGGGCTGGGTGGTGGGATTATGTTTCTATGCTGAAATGGCTCTTGGGAGGTTTGTTTTTTGCTGGGTCTTTCTAACGGGTCTTGGCGGGTTTGTTTGCTTTCTGGGTTTCCCCCCATTTCCGATGGGTCTTGAAGGGTTGTTTGCTTTTTGGGGTTTTCCCCCCATTTGCAATGGGTCTCATGGGGTTTGCTTGCTTTTTGCTGTGCTTTTTTGCATTTCCAATGAGTCTTGCACGGTTTGCTTGCTTTCTGCTTTGCTTTTTTTGCATTTCTGATGGGTCATGCACGGTTTGCTTATTTTCTGCTTTGCTTTTTTTGCATTTCCGATGGGTCTTGCATGGTTTGCTTGCTTTTTGCTTTTCTTTTTTTTGCATTTCTGAAGGGCCTTGCACAGTTTGTTTGCTTTTCTTTCTTTTTTCCCTTTGGCCAGAACGGATTAATCGTGTTTCTGCAGTGGTTTTGGGTTGTTGTTTTTTTGTGATTATTTTCTTTAGCCTGAACGGATTAATTGTATTTCAGTACATTCCTATGGAAAATGGTGCTTTGACTTACGACCATTTTGAGTTACGACCGGAGTTCTGGAACCAATTAAGTTCATAAGTTGAGGCACCACTGTACTTTCTTGTTGGATTAATGTAACATGCTATACAGTACTGGTTATTGTCTTTGGAAAGTGTTCCGTGGGTCAAAAATGCTGCTGCCAGATTGTTAACTGGGACTGGTTACAGGGATCATATACTGTAACTCCCCTGTTCCAGCAGGCCCACTGGCTCCTGGTCTGTTTCCAGTTAAGGAAGAGCTACCTTAAAACATCCTTCTATCTCTCTGCCCACTCCACACTCTTTTTTCCCCTTTTGGTCAGCCATCTGTCCTAGCACTACAACAACCAGTTTTCAAAACAAAGGAAAGCAAAGCAAAGAAATGGAAGAGTAAGGGAGAAGCAAGCATACAGAGTGTCATGATGATGGGATATGTAGTCAGAGAAATGTAAAATGGAGTCAGAGAGGTTCTGCGTGAAGACGATTTGAGAGACTTTGTAATGTGTTTTTCTAAGCGCCATGAGAGTGTTTTCCTGACGACTGTTACAACCTAGCTCAAGATAACTCTCTGATCAAGTGCCCTGCAATCCTTTAGAAGGCCAGGAGCATCACACCGAGGTACCAGGTTCAGTTTTAGTCCAATGGAACGTTTGCATTTTTCCCACTGCATCCTTGGTCCACTTTTCATCAATACTTCATCTCAAATCTGAGGAGACAAAGAAGCCCTCTTTTGCTCCATGTCCTCAACTTTACAAACAGATCTTGCCAACGTGTTGTAGTCAGATGTTTTTATTTTGTTTCTAGCAAACGATGAAAACAGATACCATAATTATATTGTGCAGCAGTTTGAGATGTTATATCAAGATGGGGTCTTTCTGGCAAACCCACCTAAATACTGCACTGCAAACATCGGATATAATCCTGTTGTTCTTTATTGCTCCACAGTACTCTTCTCCAGACTGGTTTGGTTCTTGGAACCTAGAGGAAAATGGAGGACAAACAGGCTTATCAACCCACTGTAGTGAAAAACGGTCTCTGTTTCTCCTTGAGCTTTGACCGTTCATAAATTCCAAGCTCATCTGCTCAGACCAAATATGGAGATACCTTGTGGGAAAGAAACTTACAGAGTCTGGTCAAACTGAGATTCTGTCATCCACACCCATCTCTTCTCTTGGAATGACACAAAGAGTCCGGCCCAGTAGGTACGTGTAGCTACTATAATCTGCTTTAAGAACTCCTATGTCAGAAACAGAGTAAGTATTAGTTCATGAAACCACTCATTAATTATCCCCTATACCGTGGAGACCTTGATAGGGTTGCCAAAGGTTGGACTTGACATCACATGAAATACACAAGAAGCCAGTACACCCATTTAGGGTGACTAGGAACAGAATCTACAAAAAAATCACTAAAAATTAAGGACGACTCAGAACAACATCAAATTAAGTTTGCATAGGGTTCAGGAGGTGGGCTAACGATTGCAAGCATTTAAAACCTATTCCAAACACTGTAAGGCACTTTTACAGGAGCGAAAAAGGACTTCGCAAAGCCATTGAAATGTATTGAGTCGGCTTCAATACATTCCAATGGAGGAAACATTGTTTCACTCAACGATGTTTCCTATGGGTTTTTTCACTTAAAGACGGCAATCTGTTCCAATTGGAATGGATTAACCGGTTTTCAATTCATTCCTATGGGAAATGGTGTTTCACAGAATGATGTTTCACACAACGTTGATTTTTTTGGAACCAATTTACATCGTTTTGTGAGGCACCACTGTTCTTATATTACCACTGTTGTTAATTAAAAAAGGGGTTTGTTTCAAATGTGCCACAACACTTTAGGTTTCTTCTTCTTCCTCTTTAGTTTTAGTCTTAAGAACATCTTCTGCTTCTGCTTCTTTGTTATAGTGCCAATTCTTAGTGAATTTTCATGGCTAAGTAGGGTTTTGAACCCAGGTTTCCTAGTTGGTCATTCTATCCACTACACTACACTGGCTCTATTTTTAACTTGCATCAATTTGCAGATGAAATGTGTGCCAATGGCATTATGCCATTGTTATAGGGGGTCTTTAGCAGGTGACTGAGATCTCAGCTCACCTCTACAGGAATTCTCAAGCAGGGCAGTGTGAATTGTTGAGAGGCTCCCACTGGCCATACCTCAAAACCACTGACATGAAGAGCATTTCATGGAGTCACCAAGATCTTGTTCTTTGTTATCCATGTTTTGAAAACCCAATGTATATTTATTTAGACGTTATTAAAATTAGTAGGACTGACGTCTGCATAGGCATGCATAATCACAACTAGTAAGAAGAATGCTGTTATGGCATTATTTACCATCTCTTCCTTCCTTCGGATCACCAGCAGGTGAGAATTCCTTACTGCACAATCATCTTTGCTTTCATTCCAGGATTTAACATCCGTTGATGACCAGTAGCACTGGTCCCCATAGAGATGCCAGTGTGTAGGGCAGAGTTTACAAGTAGAATTCCCTGGTAAATGGAGAATCAAGCAGCCATTAGTATTTTTTTGATTAAGCCCCCCATTTTGTGTAAGAGTATGTTTCTGTGTCAGCAAATATGGGAACCCTGTGTAGCTACAGGCTAGTCTTGGGGTTTTTGAACAAAACATTCCCTGTGTAGCTACAGGCTAGTCTTGGGGTATCTTTTGAACAAAACATCTCACAATAGCCAAGGTTTTCAGCAAGCTAGATTTTTTCCTGTAGTTTGTCCAAAACACCGGATACTTTCAGACAATCTGCTTTCCTTGCAAGACGCTTCTGCTTGTGGAAGAAGAGAAGGACCCCTAGCTGTGTTAATTCATTCTCAGTGAATGACCAAAAAGCACTCAGAAATGGTTACAAAGTGCTGGAGAGTTCTGAAATGGCCAGCAATGAGTCCAGATCTGAATCTCATAGAACACCTGTGGAGAGATCTCAGAACAGCAGTTGGGAGAAGGCGTCCTTCAAATCTGAAGGCCCCGGAGCAGTTTGCAAAAGAGTGGTCCAAAATCCCAGTAGAAAGATGTAAGAAAATCATTCATAGTTACAGGAAGTGATTTATTTCAATTATTTTTTCCAAAGGGGGTGCGACCAAATATTAAGTCAAGGGTGCCAATAATTTTGGCCAGTGCATTTTTGGGTTTCTGTGTGGAATTGTATCAGATTTGACTTCTCTGTTGTTGTTTTTTTTGTGTTGTTCCAACACAAACCAAAGAAATGAACATGTGAGTACCAAAACATTTGCAACTGCAACCATTTTCTGAGAGAAGGGCTGCATTTTCTGACAGAATTGCCAGGGTGCCAATATTTTTGGCCATGACTGTATGTGATTTGTTCTCATACAAATGGTGTCATTACTCATGGTCTAATTTATGGTCTCATTACTCATCCACACATAGATATAATGGTGCCATCTAGTGGCTCCGATGGGATGGTACACAGGAAGAATAAAGAGTGGGTGTTTGAACAGAAGAAAGTAATTGGAGTAATGCTGAATACAGTACTTGAGCTCCTTTATTTGGGGGAGCTTTCTTTCCTCATAGAGCTTGGTATCCCATTCCCTGATCCTCCTTGTTGCCCTCCTCTGAACTTGTTCCAATTTGTCAGCATCCTTCTTGAAGTGCAATGTCCAGAACTGGACACAGTCAAGATGAAACCTAACCAGTGTCGAATAGAGGGGAACTAGCAACTCGCAGGATTTGAAAATAGTGTTTTTTTTAATGTGGCCTAAAATAGCATTTGCCTTTTTTGTAGCCACATCACACTGCTGGCTCATATTCAGCTTGTGATCTACAACAATTCCAAGATCTTTCTCACTTAACAGTACTGCTGAGCCAGGTATCCCCCATCTTGTAACTGTTCGTTTGGTTTCTTTTTCCTAGGTGGAGTACTTTACATTTATTCCTGTTAAATTTCATTCTATTGTTTTCAGTCCAGTGCTCCATCCTATCTGTTCCACCCAATTTTGTGTCATCCGCAAATTTGATTAGTGTTCCCTGCACCCCCTGATCCAGGTTGTTAATAAAAATGTTGAAGAGCACAGGGCCCAGGACTGAGCCCTGAGGTATCCCCACTTGTTACTTCTACCCAGTTTGAAAAGAAGTCATTAATCGTCACCCTCTGATGCCTTGAGACCCAATATACGTGGAGCTGGAAGAGACATTGACTGTTTCTCTCTCTCTCTCTCTCTTTGCTAATTTTTTTTTGTAAATAACAAAACCACAAATAATTTTACCTGAGGAGCTGCCCTGGCTTTGATGGCAGAGTTTGCTTCTTAGAAGAGAGTGGCATTTCACAGGGCACGTGCCAACTTCAGCTCCAATTCTCCTTTTCTCAGCCTCCATCTGCAAAACTTCCAAATATATATAACCAAACAGAGGCCCTAAATTATGGCATGTGTGAAATGCAGCCAGACACCTATGACTATGGAGAGACTAGCATTAATGTTTTACTCTGTTAATCCCTATTTTCCATCTCATATATCTGACAAAGTGGTCTAAGAAGGCCCATTAAAATGTACATTAAAATTCACGATTTTGTCTCTTTTTCATTTTGTTTTTGCCTGATGTACCTGTCAACTCAGAACAGAGATGTAAAGTATATCACAGAAGTGAGTACACCCCCTCCCATTTCATAAACATTTTAGTATATTTTTTCATGTGACAACTTGGTTACAATGTAAAGCAGTGGGTATACAGCTTGTATAACAGTGTAAATGTGGTGTCCCCTCAAAATAACGCAACACACAGTCATTAATGGCTAAACCACTGGCAACAAAAGTGAGCACACCCCTAAGTGACAATGTCCAAATTGGGCCCAAGTAGCGGTTTTTGCTCCCTGGTGTCATGAGACCCGTTAGTGTCACAAGTCTCAGGTGTCCAAATTGGGTACAACTTGTCAATACTTTGTGTGGCCACCATTATTTTCCAGCACTGCTTTAACCCTCTTGGGCACAGAGTTCACCAGAGCTTCACAAGTTGCCACTGGAGTCCTCTTACACTCCCCCATGACGACACCACAGAGCTGGGGGATGTTAGAGACCTTGCGGACCTCCACCTTCAATTTCAGGATGCCCCACAGATACTCAATAGGGTTTAGGTCTGGAGACATGCTTGGCTAGTCCATCACCTTTACCCTCAGCTTCTTTAGCAAGACAGTGGTCGTGTTGGAGGTATGTTTGGGATCGTTATCATGTTGGAATACTGCCCTGCGGCCCAGTCTCCAAAGGGAGGGGATCATGCTTTGTTTCAGTATGTCACCGTACATGTTGCCATTCAGGGTTCCCTCAATGAACTGACACACTTGTCTTTGTACTCCTCAGCTGGTTGCCGCCAGACACGCTTGACACCATCTGAACCAAATAATTTTATATTGACCTCACCAGACCACAGGACATGTTTCCAGAAATCCATGTCCTTAGTCAGCTTGTCTGCAGCAAACCGTATGTGGGCTTCCTTGTGCATCACCTTTAGAAGAGGCTTCCTTCTAGGACGACAGCCCTGGAGACTAGTTTGATGCAGTGTGCGGTGTGTGGTCTGAGCACTGACAAGCTGACTCCCCACCCCTTCAACCTTTGCAGCAATGCTGGCAGCACTTATATGTCTATTTCCCAAAGCCAATTTCTGGATATGACTCTGAGCATGGGCACTCAACTTCTTGGGTCGAACCATGGCAAGGCCTGTTCTGAGTGGAACCTGCCCTGTTAAACTGCTGTATGGTCTTGGCCATCGTACTGCAGCTCAGTTTCAGGGTTTTGGCAATCCTCATATAGCCTAGGGCCTAGGCCATCTTTATGTAGAGCAAGAATTCATTTTTTTCAGATCCTCAGATAGTTCATTACCACGAGGTGCCATGTGGAACTTCCAGTGACCAGTCTGAGAGAGTGAGATCAATAACACCTGCTCCCCCTTCACACCTGGGTGTGTGTGTGTCAAGGCAGCGAAGACTGTCAAGGCAGGGAAGACCTTGGCATATAAGCAGCTTCCTTGGAAAGCAACTGGAAAACATTCTGGGATGAGACAGTGAGATGTGGTACCCAATCTCCTAATACATTCTGCTCCAGATTTGTGATGGTTTTTGCATTTAGAACTGTGAGCAACTGATCAGACCTGAATATTTGTCATCAGAAGAAGCTTTAGTTTTTTTCTTTTTAATTTTAAGATTGGTTTTGCTTTAGTAGGAAAACAGCCTTGTTCTCTGTTTTTTTCTCCTCTGGAAGGCAGTGACTGAAATCGTGTTGCACTAGATACAGTGTAAAATTCCTTCTACAGAAATTTGTGGGCAGTTCAGCCCAGGCAGTACTCCGTGTGATATAGCAGAGAGAGTGACAGACTGCAACTCTGGAGACCAGGGTTCGAATCCTCACTTGGCCATGGAAACTCACTGGGAAAATGGAACTGGTTAAAAGCACTCCTTAAATATCGCACTTACCTTGAAAGCTCCAGCTTATTGCTATAAGACGGTTCTTACTTGACGGCATATAACAAACTCTACCAAGGCAGTCTGCACAATTGCACCTGCACAGTGACAGACTGCAACTCTGGAGACCAGGGTTCGAATCCTCACTTGGCCATGGAAACTCACTGGGAAAATGGAACTGGTTAAAAGCACTCCTTAAATATCGCACTTACCTTGAAAGCTCCAGCTTATTGCTATAAGACGGTTCTTACTTGACGGCATATAACAAACTCTACCAAGGCAGTCTGCACAATTGCACCTGCACAACTGCTTGATATAACAAACTCTACCAAGGCAGTCTGCATATTGGGTTGCTTAACTACTTCCACAATTGCACCTGCATAACTGCTTGCTGGAAATGCCTTCTGACTTGGTGCAAGTTTTGCAACTGCTTACTGAACTTTGAGTTACACAGGGCATGGCTACACAACAGATTCTTGGCCACTGTCTCCACACCTCAGCCATTCCCTCTCTTTTATCACAGTCTGCTTCAACCTTCTGCTCATCCTTTTTTCTACAGATTTTTTAAAACCTCCTGGCTTTATCCTTGCACTTTATGTTTTGTTGCAAAAGAAGCTAAAGGTTTCATTTACATAAGTGACTGGACTGAATGTGAGTTTAGCTGCCTCGACAGATGCAGAGCCCAAGTCATCTTAAGGGCGGAATACGGTCACCAGAATCCCATTGGCATTCATTTAACATTTGTGTAATTCGTTGTGACTAATTGACAAGCTGCAGGGGTACATCTCAGCCACATACCTGGTCATGTGCCCAACAGAACTGGGTGTGGGCAGCAACTCATCAGTTAGCCTCATTTAGTCATAGCAAGTTACACAGCAAGTTACCTCCAGTAGAGTCTTGGCCAGTGTCACAAACAGAAAGACAGGAAGCTATCTTATACTAGCTAGCTCAATACTTTTTACATCATGGTTGGCAACAGTCCAGCATGCAGCCAGTCCACATCCCTTGTAGAGGCCTGTGTTGCTGCCATCACCACTAGACCACAGCTGTAGTGTTAAGTAAAACACAAAACCCACTTTTTTATTGTATGGTTTACAGATCATGAGGAGCATTGCCTTGTTTTAAAAGAAAATAATGCTCTCAGTAACTTCCTGGAAGCATGAATCTTTTTCAAAACAAGGAATACGCTATCTACGTGATTGGCTTTAAGTCTAAATTACAATATTTTTGAGCAAAACATTGGACTTTTCACACTTCTGTCATTGTTTTTCGGTGGCAGATTGGCTGCAACCAGGCCCTGCAGTGGATTCGGGGTAAGGTGGGGATCTTGACTGGACCTAATGAAGTTACCTCTGCCTTGTCTGCACTAATAGGAGCTTTCTACAGTTTCAGATAGGGTAGTTACCCAAACCTACCTGGGAAGTTTTGCATTCAAAGCATGATCTATATTTTTTGCACATCCTAAAGAATGGAGGCAGCCATGGTTATCTATAGTTCAAACAAGCACAAACTTCAACACAGATTTATAGGATGCTGTAATAGAGGAGCAGACACATATTATGGCTGAAATCTGTTGCTTATTTATTTAAAATATTTTTACCCCACCTTGCTCTGGAAAAAAAGACCCAAGATGGCTTACATAATTAAAAACGAAATAATTAACGCTAAAAACAGTAAATTGTTCAAGTATACAGAAGAATTAAAATATTATATTAAAATATTAGGTAAAATCATTACTAAAAACAGATTTAAAAGCAACAGAATATAAACCGTCCTGTTTATTGTCTCCAAGAGAGTCAATCATTAAGGAAAAACCTTCCTGAAGAGAAAGGTCTTTGCCTGCCTGCAGAATGACAGCAAAAATGGGACCAGCCTGGCCACCTGTGGGAGGGAGTTCCAGAGTCTTGGAGAAGCATAAGAGAATGCCTTCTCCCATGTCCCCAACAAGCACACCTGTGCAGTAAGTCATGAGCAAGTCCACTGAATCAGTGGGAATTGGTAAGTCAACTCCTCTGTAAGACAAACTGATTCAATAGGCCTACTCCATTTGTAACATACTGCCTTAAACAGCACAATTTTTACTTATACTGTATATACACACAATCATATATATGTTTTTCATCCAGTGCAGCATTGTTGACAAGCAACGTATTGGGCAGGAGAATGGGGTATTTTAGGGAATCTAGCTGAAAGAAACTAGAGGGAAAATTGCTGGAAAGGTCAGTGGTTTAGGCATCTGGCTGTGGAGCCAGAAGTTGGGAGTTTGATTCCCCACTGTGCTTCTTTGAGATGGGCTCTACTCGATGATCCATATAGTCCCTTCCACCTCTACAGTTCTAAGATGATGATGATGATTAAGCATAATATACATTAAGACAACAGAATTGTAAATGAATGCTGCTAACTCACCTAAAGCTATGATAGCTGCCACCAGGAGAACAATCACAAAGCATGTGGCACATAAGGTGATCTGGTACCAACGAGGACACAGGGCAGCACCTGTGAAGAGTGACAGCTGATATACGAACATTACACATGTACATAAGGATCACTTAAGAGTCCATCTCCCACCACAACTGACTGCAGGCTGAGAAACGCTGTGGCTGTTCATGGTTTCATTGTTACTTCCCATACTAGTTTCTAAAACCTATGTGCCGCATTGCCACAATGACCGGTGAAACTGACAGAAAAAGGTGTTTATAAACATGCACAGGATTGAAGAACTGAGGCTACGGAAAGAACTAATAAATGGACTTCAGATACATAGGGAGCTGGTATTTGACCGTTGAAGCTGTTGGTCTATCTTGCTAAGCTGTAGCGAAGAATCCCTGACAGCCACTATGTGGGGTTTTAGACAGTGATTTCCCCCCTTCTTTTTCTGGAGATACCAAGAAATTAACCTGGTGGTTGGCTCACCAGAGCTAACAATGCATTCAGTGAATAATGATTAATTAACTAAAGTTTAATTTAATTTAATTCATTAAAATATTCAATAATGTTCTTTAAATCTGCACTTTAAATCTTTAAACACCTTATATAGGGTTTGAAGCAATTTGTTTTAGATTAATATCATAATTTTTAACATTTCATATTGTTTTAATTCATTACCTGAGGAAAGGGGTAGCCTTCCCCCCCCTTATGTTTAATATTTTTGAACAACTTCCCCATCTTCATCAATTTCTATTTGTGTTTTCAGGCTCTAGCAAAGCAAGTGATCCACCCACCCCTGAACTGACCCTCCCTAAATATTATTTTTTGGGGGAAGGAAACAGATTTCATTACCCTCTCCCATCCACTCCAGCCCAGTGAAAACGCTATTTAGAGGACTAGAAGGGAGAGCTGAATGGGGAAAATTCTAGCACAGGGAGGTACAGTGGCACCTGGAAATTTGGTAGACGTGCATGAGTCCTCCTGTCCACAGATGACACAGTCTGGATCCAGCTCACTACAGTGGCTTTTGCATTTTTGTTAGTGTTCTTGGCAAAAAACGGGATGGACTTTAAAACAGCAACAGCTTCTTCCATAGAAGCACACCTGAGTTGGAAACAACTGGTGTGGAAGGAGGTGTTGATCATTATGTTTGCAGATTTGACACATGTTTACAGTGGAACAAATGAATCATATACTTTGGCTGGGTACTTGGAAAAGATCTAAGGGAGGCCAGTGGGGTTAGAATGTATTAACAGAGATTACCATCACCAGCAATGGCCTTCACACTACTGGGGCCATGAAGGAAAAGGATGTGGGTGTAGTGTGAAGACCGGACGCTGCTTGCAGCTTTCTGACATAAAGAAGTGACATTCATATAGGGTGACAAAACTGTAATAAAAAAAACCAAGTAGACTTCTGGTCTGTGGGCATAGCTCACTGCTATGCTCATCAGCCTTACATCTTCCTCTTGTTGATGTTGGAGTACGACTCCCATTCTCCTGAGCTAGTATAGCCATTGAACACAATGGCATTGTATGACTGGAATTATTAGCACACCTGGAGAACAACTGGATAGGGAGTCTGGTTAATCACTTCTTTGTCTATTGACTCCTGATGTCCCTATATGGCAGGCACTGTGGCAATTCAGATGTTGCTGGTCTTCAGTTCACACAATCTCTTGCCATCCACATGATGGTAATCCCAGTTACTATGTGCAGAGGTGAAAACTGCCCAGTGAAAAAAGCCGATAGGGGAAAAATGATTGTTGGAAAAGAATATTGCAGACACCACAGACCACCAGAAAGATAAATACAGTGGTGCCTCGCTTAATGATTGTCTCGTTAAATGATGAAACCACTATACAATGACTGTTTTGCGATCGCAAAACAATGTTTTAATAGGCAAAATCCGCTTTGCGACGATCGGTTCCCTGCTTCGGGAACCGATTCTTCGCATCACGACGTTTTTAAAATAGCTGATTGGTGGCTTAAAAATGGCTAACCGCTGTGCCATTCTCCTGAGCTAGTATAGCCATTGAACACAATGGCATTGTATGACTGGAATTATTAGCACACCTGGAGAACAGCTGGATAGGGAGTCTGGTTAATCACTTCTTTGTCTATTGACTCCTGATGTCCCTATATGGCAGGCACTGTGGCAATTCAGATGTTGCTGGTCTTCAGTTCACACAATCTCTTGCCATCCACATGATGGTAATCCCAGTTACTATGTGCAGAGGTGAAAACTGCCCAGTGAAAAAAGCCGATAGGGGAAAAATGATTGTTGGAAAAGAATATTGCAGACACCACAGACCACCAGAAAGATAAATACAGTGGTGCCTCGCTTAATGATTGTCTCGTTAAATGATGAAACCACTATACAATGACTGTTTTGCGATCGCAAAACAATGTTTTAATAGGCAAAATCCGCTTTGCGACGATCGGTTCCCTGCTTCGGGAACCGATTCTTCGCATCACGACGTTTTTAAAATAGCTGATTGGTGGCTTAAAAATGGCTAACCGCTGTGTCAAATGGCTCCCCATTGTGTTTTTGGACGGATTCCTTGCTTTACAGGCACCAAAAATGGCCACCCCTATGGAGGATCTTCACTGGATGGTGAGTTTTTCAGCCCATTAGAATGCATACCACATGATGGTAATTCCAGTAACTATGTGCAGAGGTGAAAGCTGGCCAGTGAAAAAAGCCAATTTGGGGGGGGGGATGATTGTTGGAAAAGAATATTGCAGACACCACAGACCACCAGAAAGATAAATAAGTGGATTCTAGATCAAATCAAGGCAAACTTTTTCTAGATCTAAAAATGACCAAATAGACTGTAAGTGGGTTCTAGATCAAATTAAGCTAAACTTTTTCTAGACCTAAAAATGACCAAATAGAAGCTGTTGTACTTTTGGCACATCATGAGAACAGAAGATTCACTGCAAAAGACAATAATGCTGGGAAAAGCCGAAGGCAACAGGAAAAAAGGAACACCAAATAAGCGGTAGACTGACACAATAAAAATAGCCGTGAGTTCACAAGACATGAACAGGACTGTTAAAGATAAGACATTTTGCAGAACACCAAGTGATAGGATTGCTGTAAGTCGTAGGTAACGGCCACCATATCTGGAGGGTCAAAATTGCCCACTCTTGTTTTGCAGACTCAGGGTTGCTTAAACTCAATTAAATTCACAAGCCTAGGTATTTTGAGTTATAATTATGCAGGAGATGTTTTACAATCATTTACAAGAGCAAGCTGAAGATATCAAAGGCTCAGCTGGATTCAGTAAGTAGGGCCTGCAGTTATCTCTGCATTTAAGTTAAAGGCCACTTTTCTGCCCCCCCCCCAAAAGGGATCAAGGCAGGTGGCAATAATAAAAAATAAAATACTAACCCAGCTGGATTGACTTAGTTTTCCATCCTTCAATAAAATGATTATCTAGCTTGCTGGGAGTGGGGGCAATATGTACTCTGCATAATTTAAATTGTAAATTACAGAAGGTTATGATATGATTTGACACAACTCCGGGAGGCAGTGGAAGACAGGAGGGCCTGGCGTGCTCTGGTCCATGGGGTCACGAAGAGTCGGACACGACTAAACGACTAAACAATGATGTGAAAGGAAAGGATTTGATCAGCAATATTAGAGGGTTTAATGATTTGGACAGTAGTGTTTGAGGCTTGCTCAGTGACCAGGAAAGAGTGGAAATGAGGACGATACAGAAGCAGGAAAAGCCGAGAACATTTTGCTGCCCAAGGGGGGCAAAATACTCCACCCCACCTGTGGAAGCTGCTTGGACCAGCAGTTGAATTTTGATTTTCTCCTTGGGCTGAGACAACTCTCTTCCACCCCACTTGCCACAGAAATCATCTCTAATAAAAGTTTCCCTTCACTCTACACGTTGAAGCAAATGCCATGGCTAGGATTGGGTTTAATGCTCTTCAAAAACATCCTTTTCACAGCTGCCTCATCATCTGGGTGAAGAAGCTGTTTGTTATCAGTGGCCCAAATCCTGTTGCTCAGTGTAGTCAGTCACACTACAATAGGCCCATCGAATCAATGGGGATTTAGTTGAGTAGCTGCTCCATAAACTGCATTGATTCAACAGGGCCTACTTACTTTCATACATTAAGTCACAGTTAGAGTAGTCCCATTTGAATCAATGGAACTTATGGAGGTGTTGAGGCATCAAACCCATTGATTCTACAGGCCTATTCTTGTGCAATTTACAAGCAAAGCAACAGGATTTTGTTCAGTTTACAACTGGAATCAGAAGTTTATTTTATTTATTTATTTATTTATTTTATTTATATCCCGCCTATCTAGTCGATAGACCACTCTAGGCGGCTTACAACGAGGGATGCAACAATAAAAACAACAAAATTACATAAAAGAAAACTTTTGACAATTGGGTTAAACATTAGGAAAGAAAAGAGGAGGGGATCAGGAATTAACTAGGGGGGAAGGCCT